TCCAGATGTTCATCTTTAATTCCTTACTTTAGGTAAGAAATTGTCTATATGAGACTTCTTATGGGTCTATTTTTCTTCTAAAGGCCATGGGAACCGTTTTAACCTATTTTCTATCAGTTCCTTGTCTCAATGACGTTGGAAAACAAGATCTCATAGAAAACTCTCTCATTCGCCTACCTAAATATTTGCCGTTGTAGCAAAAACAATCCGAAAAGCATGTTAGCCAGCCTGCCCCTGCTTGGGACATGTGGATCAATGCTGCCCCTGAGAGCCATCAGTCTTACTTGACATGTTTACTGGATGTATGCATCAGTAGCCCTGCAATTACCCAATAATCTCCCTACAACTACCTGACCTCAACAGCAGGATGCTTGAAACTGAAAGTAAAACCTAAAGCATTGGTGACTGATTAGTTTGACTAAATTAATGTCTGAAAAACATTGGAGTGCTCATGGAGTATTGTCATTTTCATTTCCAGATGGTCACTAGATCCTTTTGGGACAATAAAAACATTAAAGTGATTTCTGTAGCTTACTAATGTCATTAGTTTAAAAGGGATGCACAATAGAGAATCATATACAAACATAGAGTGCCTTGCGGAAGTATTTGCCCCACTCTAACTTTTTAAACTTTTGGCACATTTGGGTCTTCAAACATAAAAATATAAGATTGCAATTTTTTGTGAAGAATCAATAACAATTGGGCCGCAAGTGGAATTAAATTTATTGTATATCTAAAAAAAAAAAATCTGAAAAGTTAGGCATGCAATATTACCCGGCACCTTTAGTTTCCGTGCACCAAACTCTGCAGAAGTTCAGTGTGGATCTCTGAATGATCCAATGTTGACCTAAAAGATCAGTCCAGTCAGTCATATACTGCTCAAATCTGGCCTTTATGGAAGAAAGACATTTTTAAAACGATATCCATAAAAAGTATCTTTTAAAATTTGCGACAAGTCACCTGGGAGACACCACAAACATGTGAAAGAAGGTGCTCTGGTCACATGAAACAAAAAAAAAACGTTTTGGCAACAAAACAAAACATTATGTTTGGGGTAAAATCAACACAGCTAAAGACCCTGAACACACCATCCCCACGGTTAAACACGCTGGTGGCAGCATCATGGCTTGGACTTGCTTTTCTTCAGCAGGGACAGAGAAGATGGTTAAAACTGATGGGAAGATGGATGGAATCAAATCCAGGGCCATTCTGGAAGAAAACCTATTTGAGTCTGCAAAAGGCCTGAGGGTAGGATGAAGATTTATCTTCAAACAAGACAGTGATCCAAAATATAAAGCAAAATCTACAATGAATGGGTCACAAATAAATATATGCGGGTTTTAGATTTGCCAAGTCTGTCATGGCCTCAGAACCTTGGACCCACTATTTGAAGTGGCTTTATGGAAACAGTACAGTGAGAGGTTGGTCATCAGCAGGGCGGATAACTGGATTCTCTGCAGGGATAGAAACTCAGGTCAGTGACTAAGAATGTTGGGCTGATCACAACTAGGAGCAAAAGTCACTGACCTGGTTAAGAGTTCAGTCCGATCCCAGAGGAAGTAGAGGAATCCAGGGGGGTAGAATTGTCTGCCGCTTGTGGCTGGAGCCACTTCCAGACCTCAGGGTCATGACAATCTGACACCAGCCGAGGCAACAGTACAGGAAACAGTATCAAAGTGCAGATCCAATCGGGAATCTGTGGAAAGAACTGAAAACTGCTGTTCACAGAAGCTCATCATCCAACCTCATTGAGGTTGAGCCGTTTTGCAAAGAAGAATGGGCAAAAATGAAAATAACTTTTTTTAAGGTGTATCCAAACTCGATCTAAAATTAAAATTCAATATAAAAAAAATGGGTGGATAATCAGAGGATAATAAAAGTTAAATCAAGTTCCATGTACCAAGATATACCTTTTTAACCAAAAGGCAGCACCAAGATGGTTTTAGGCCAAAGTCTGCAGAATTTAAACAACCTCAAAATTTGCACTGTAACAAAAAAACATTTACAAGAAACAAAGTTGATTTAGATTTAGTTTGGTTACTCGTCAAAAGTATGCACCAAAGATGTTGTGGTAATTATAAATTGAAAGGGGACCCAAAACAAAACCCCTAAGGTGGCTAAATGTTACGCAACAACACAGACGTGTTCTTAAGTTGAGAAAACATTTTCTTTTTGCCTCTGAGAATTAATGCTTTGCAAAAAAGCTCAGCAGCCAAACTTATACCAATTCCCACCCTCTGTAGTTTGTCACATCTGCAAAAGAAAACATCAGCATCGCTATGACAGAGGAGGCATTTTTTTAACTGATAAGGAGGAGGACAGCAAAATTCTTGATATATGAAGAATATTTGCATGTTCTTCATATATTTTTTTATGTCTATGCCAGCTGATTCATGCATTACATAACATTTAACTGAATGGGTTTACACACATAAAATAAAAAAATAGAGTTTCAACCCAAAATCAAAAGGGTGAAAGAAAAGTTATCTTTGCTTTTCCTACCTAAAACAATCCATATCCTAAGTAGCAACACAACTCTTCTTAGACATGTTGAAAAAATTCCTGCTAAGACAGGAGTGCTCAAGTCCAGTCTTTAACTACTACTGCTATACCGCAACTTTTTGATGCACCCCATTTTTAAAATACCTGCATCAAGCGAGTGGCTGTTTACCATGCCTCTGCTGAGCTACATGAGAGGATTGAGCCTTTAGAATCCAGCATGTAAGAAAAGAGATGCATCTAAAGCTAGACGATGGTAGCTCTGGAGGAATGGAGTAAGATGTTAAGAACTATCAGCAGGAACCCCTGAGATGGAGCTGCAAAAACACAATGAGGTAATTTTTCTCAGTTCTTGTCACGTAGCAGCTTTTAGTAGAAAGAATTCAGATCCATCAGAAAAGTTCAATGACAACTCCTTTAGAAGTAAACCCTTATTCGAATCTCTGCTGTACCACAGTCATATAAGACAGTTAAACTCATGCTCCTCAAAGCGCCTTGCATTACCTCTGCAAAGGCCAACATTGAGGTACAGGGCAATTTTAAGCTCTAGAGTTACTGTACTGCTTGTTTCATTGTTTCCACCACCTCCCACTGTGTGATACACTTAGACCCCTTATAGACACTTCTTCTGCAGTAATACATACAAGGTATCAGGAGACTTATTGTGCTGTTTAAGGTCTGCCCTCTGGAAGAACTCTGCTTGTTCTTGTTCCTGCCAGTGTTGGAGGAAAGTTGCAGGAGAATGTACATGCAACCTTTTTTTTTAAGGCTTACTTCTTTAGGAGTAAATATGAGGGTTTGGATTCACAGCCGAAAACAGAAGTTATAAAGAATTCAACGAGTCTCTGGAAGACTCACTGTAAAAGATTATACTGTACAACCCGTAATATCATTCTTCACCCAGGAGCTTTGAGCTTCAGAAATATTGTCTGTTATTTTATTTAGACAGCTGCAGAGGTTTCAAGCATGCATTGAATATTTTATTGATAGGAAGAAAAAAAAAACTGTAATCAGGGCAACATTTACTAATGCCTGAGCAAAGTGTACGGCAACAGGGTTGGATATTGAATGTTTGAATAGAGAAATTAGGTCGCCTGCATCCACATATCAAGAACAGTGGCAGTCATTTGTAGCCTTGGGGGCTTTGGGGGTGGGGGTGGAGGGCGAGGCTGAGGGCGGAGGGGTTCCAACTGAGTTACACTCCTAACATGTTCCCCATAACATGCTCCAATTAAAGCTAACGGTCTGCCTGTTAACCTTGTGCCGTTGTTTGGCTCTAAGAACAAGGTGTAGGGAGTGTAAGCCTGAAATTATGGAGCATAAATTGTTCGGCCAAAACAACAGAAAAGCCCTCCAATGCTCGGCCTCCTGGGGAGCAGTTTATTGAGGATCTAGAGCAGATTAGCTGGCTGAAGCTGAGCACTGTAATAATTGTGATGGGCTTAAACCGAACCGAGAGGGGGTCTCCTCAAGGTTAAAATCAAGGTTGTGTTTGCTGTGTTTTTGTCATTGCTCATTTAGACTGTGAGCTTCAGCTTCAGGTATTGAATTTGGATATTCTAACTTGGAGAAGGTCATGATAAAATGGGATCTATAATGTTCTTTTTTGTTTTATTAAAAAATCTTTTTAAAATTCTGCATGTTTTTAGGTTTGGGGTTTTATTTATCTAATATCAGTTTCTTTACTACTATTAGTTGATTTTTATTGCAGTTGTTTATCTTTGTTTTTAAAATATTTCCTCAGAGTTCTGTAATGCAAAACACGATGATATATTTCTTATGTTTTCTCCTTTTAAAATGACCCTTTAAATCAATAAATTTCTTAAAATTATAAAGTTAGATTAAACTATGGACCTAAAATGCTTTGAAATACAAAAGAAAAATCTTTAAAATGTGAGAAAATGCTAATAAAGAGGCTGTGCTTAAGAAAACAAAAGACAAAGAGTTCCTGAGATGTACCTATCAGATATTTATATATTTATATTTGTCTTTGTGTCATTTTATGCCAGTCCTCTGTGACTTATTTATGATCATGGAGACTCTCAACAGCAAACTGATGGGGGCTACCTGGAGAGAGGCTTACAAGAGGAGATTGAAATCCCCAAATCAAGCAGGAGCAGTGGTTCTTGTAAAAGAGCAGAGTGGGAGGGGGGGAGTCGGACAAGGAGGAGTGGAAATGTTTTGCTCCATAATGAGTCCTTGAAGGTGATCGCATGAAAAGAACAGACCTGCCGTGAAAGACAAAAAGAAGGGGGGGTGGTATAAGAAAGAGGGAGAGGGGTGTTTCCCTGCAGGCAGAGATGTTTGTGTGTGAACTAATCTCCCTCACACACTCACTCACACACCCTACCTCTCTCTGTAACTCAGTTGCAATAACACAGTGGCTGAGGTTGGCAGCACAAAGCAGAGACGCTCTCCCTGTCACCAGCTTGCTCTCACATACATACGCCTCGTCTCCCTGTGAGGAGTTTGACTCGCTCAGATTCTGGACACTCAGCAGGAACTGAAACAGAAAAAAAAACAGGAAGAAAGCAAGAAAAGAGAAGAATAAGAAGAAAAAGGCTGCAGAGAAATTTTAGTGGAATCCACAACCAGGTAAGACCTGTACAACTTTAGTTTATGCAAACAGTGGCTGAGCTCAGCTTTGTAAAATGTAAAGTGAAACAGGAAGAAAGACACTAAGCGTACTATAGAATATAGCAGCAGGAACAGTGTGTGTGCAAAGTACAACCCTAGTTACTACACTGATGGAGCACAAGAAGTTTAACTTCATTACACTTTTAACAATTTTTTGGCATCTCCTCCTTACTCAGGAGGAAGTTCATACATATGATGTGTTTCCAAATTATTTAATGAATGTTCTGTGAAGGGACCACAGATTAAATATTAAGCTCATAATGTAAAGTGACAAATATGAAGAGTGTGCGGAATTGAAGCTGTGCACATAAAGGATCCTGTGTTCAAAGGTGAGCGCATAAGGTTAAATGAAATTCCCTCAGGTGAAAGATGTTTTTCCTAAAACAAGCTCCTATTGTTTATAACATCTCAGTTTTGTGATTATAATGAAAATGAAACACAAAACGAACTAAATCTCATGAATACCAACATCATCTGTGTAGAAAAAACTTTCACTGGTTGCATTTTGGTGACTGATATTGGTGAATTGTTGAACTTATGTTTTCCTTTATTCCATTCTCTGCACATTAAGTACTGTGGTGTATATTTAAATAATGAAAAATATTTAAAAACATCAACCTTTTCCTCAAGAGTCTGCAGTTTATTTATGATCTATTGTCAACAGTTGCCTCTGTTAATTAGACTCCCCATTATTCAGCAGGGTGAACCTACTGAAACGATCCATAAATCATGTCCCACCAACACATTTTATCTCCATTTACCGCCTTTTTAAACCCTGATTTATTCTACGGCTCTGCTCATAAGGTAAGTGGTACCAGGAAAAGTGCAGTTTGAAGACTGAGTCATTTAAACATGCAGAGGTTTAACCAGAGTCTGCAGTCGGAGAGGCTTGGTGTCTGTAAACGGGCAGACTTGGTGTTCGCTGTGCTGTCGACCTTCCCCTCTGTTTATAGTCAGATAATACGAGCAGAGTAGAGACACTAGAGTCAGAGGCAGCGGAGGGATGAATGGAGTCATTGTCCGGGACACATTGTCTGTGTGCTCAGACTGGGGATGTGTATTTGTTGCCCCTTAAACTGTGAGCAATCAGTGACATCTGAGAAGTTAATGCTTCACCAAAATGTGTCAGACTTTGTCAACAGTCACATAACATAACTTTGTGATAACTGTGATGTGGAAATAATTGGAAGGACGGCAAACTACTACTCTGAGCTGATAACAAGAGGAAAGTTTCCCCTGTCGTTGATGAACAGTGGTCAGTTTTGTGCAGCGTTAAAGGTCAGACGCACAAAACCCGAAACCCGAACAGAAAATTCCTCACATCACTTCATAAACAGATGAACCATCCAGCACCAAACATGTTACCACACCAGGAATAAACACATTCTCTTTAGCATTGGGTGTAATGATAAATCAAGAGAAATTACAAATCTAAACCTTTGGGCTCTGTGTGCAGATTGGGAAACTCTTTGTTTTTCAATCCCAGAAAAAAGGAATGCTGACAGCTTTTCTTTATCTAACCCACTCATTTCAATGGTTCACAAACTAGTGTTTAAATTAAATGTTGAAATGGTGTTATAATCTTGTATAGTTTCCTTTTTAAAGAGGAATATTGTAGTGGTTTTTCCGTAAAAATTCAAAAAATATCCACTGGACTTGGTTTCCAAGATTTGAAGATGTTTCGCCACCTCTCCAGGAAGCTTTCTCAATTCAAATGAATGAATTTGAATTGACAAAGCTTCCTGGAGAGGTGGCGAAACGTCTTCAAATCTTGGAAACAAAGTCCAGTGGATATTTTTTGAATTTTTACGGAATGACTATGACCTGGATGACTGAGAACCTTCATCAGCATATTGTAGTGGTTTGCAGGGACCATCCTGTATTTTTCAGTATCTCATCTTGGTCTTATTGCACATGTCTTTTCCTTCCCATATGGATCCCAAATGTAAATGTTGGCTGATTTTCAGAGCTTTTGATGTCTACTGCATTGACCCCAGTTGCCATGGTGATTCAAGTAAGAGGACACCAATTAGGGTGTTTAAAACCACAGTCATAACTCTAGGTTGAGATGCCAGAGTTTATTGAACTCGCTCACATTCTGGAAAGTAGAAAACCTGATTTTTCAACTCACAAGTTCACAGTTAGACTAACAGTTTGTTGAACTTTGCTTCTTAAACACCCTTTAGGGGATCACAGTATTTTTATGGAATATAAACTCTTATTTTCTGTCAAAAACCTTTGATTTAGAGAACTTGCTCTGTGTTTTCATTTGAGCCAGTATTTTAATATTTCTTTAAATTAAATATCTACTTACTAAATGTTCAGATTGAGTACCAGCAGCAGTAAATGGTAGGGATAACCATAAGGTTATATGAAGAAAGAAAACTATTTTTATATGATTTCCTCTCATAATGCTTATTCTGATTGTGCAACAGTATCCGATTCTGAAAACCAGCTTTCATTTCCTCTTTCTGCTTGAAAATAACTGTAATCTCATTTTCCTACAGGCTTTTCTTTTGTTAGGCTGATTCATTAAAACATTTTGCTTAGCAAAGTTCCTTAGCAAAGTTGGTACAGTTTGACAGTAAAAACAAAAATACACCAAAAACAATAAATACAAAAAACTGCACCAGTGTGCTGGGTTTGGATTTTCTCTTACAGAATACATTTTCCTGCTGGAAGAAATGAAAACTTTTCCAACACACGAATACCCTGAACTGCAAAACTCATGTTTCAAATATTCCCTCTAATTTATTATTCCTTATATTTCTGTAAGAATAAACTGATGTGAAGAAATTCTGATCAATATTACTATTTTTGGGACTCTTCCATTTGATCAACTGTATTTTAAACTATTCCTACAGATTAATGCTTGTAGCGTTAAAATCTGCTTGCCTCATTTGGTGTTCTGGCAGCATCCAACAGCCAGAACATTAACGTTTCAGAAGCTGAAATGATGAGCTAAAGCCTCTATACAGCTCACTGGAGCAGATAACTTCAAACTAAAGGAAGTCTAAGTTTACACATATCAGTTTTTTTTTAATACAATAGTCATTTAATCTATTCTATAAACTAAAACTTTGACAGAGCACCATAAAACACTAAGTCATAATCCAGCATCACTTCAGTGATGTCGTTTTAGATATACAGTCATATTCAATAGCTCCAACATTATTGAAAAAAGTTTTATATTTTAGTATTTTGTTCAATTTAACACATTATGTAGATTAACTACACATTGTTCAGGTGTAAAACAGTGCCGGGTTTCTTTAGAATACTTAACTGACCTAATTTTATGGTATATCTGGTAAAAAACATGGGTACTGTGTGCAGGAAATAAACTAAATGACTTTTACAAAATGCAGATGGTGCTTTTCTACTGTTTATGATGAACTCACAGTGGAATACCAAATGCTTATAGTGCCTGATATGGTGAATCCGCTTCTTAGATATCAAACATGTTGAGACCAAGCACAAAGACTGTTTACTGTAACTGACCAATCAATCAACAGGTGGTTCACACCTATTTAGTGATCTATAATCGTTCATAGTTGTCTTTTTAATAATCAACAGCGCAGAGGCTGTAGTACGCACATTCAGTAAACAAGATCATGGAAAGAATAGAGCACAGGGGGGAGGTATTATAACAAGATAATTCTACATATATTTGTACCGATATGCTAATATATATATTTTTTCTGCGAGGGCATATCATTTTACTTTTATACAATATAATCAGGTCACCTTTACTTATGGAAAAGGGAAACTATATCGGAAATCTTTCTAATTCAGCAGCAGATTGCAGATTTGTAAATAAGTTACAAGCAGCACCCCTTTTTAGTTTACTAAAATAACCTGAATAAATACAAAATAAAGCTTTCGTTTTTTAAGAAAGATTTAATTTAGTAAACAGTAACAGCCATTCAGTGTTGAACAATGAAGAAAACCTGCCCCCCTTTGTTAAATCATCACAAACAAACGGCTCAGAGTTAACATCGCTGGGCTGACTTCAACCCTGCTGCTGCTTCCATCCTCTTAGTAATCACTTATGTCTGTCAGGGCTCACATATTTTACCAAATCAGAGTTTAATTATAACTGAATCATTCATAGTTTTGTTAAATGTAAAAAAAAAAAAAACAAGTACCGGTAGAATAAAATCCCCCAAAAAATGATTCAATATTGACACAAACATTTTAATTAGATGACAGCCTCTCTCCAGGGAGTACAATTTAACATGTTTAAAAATATGTAAATTTTCACTGCAGAATACAAACAGATATGGAATAACAGTGACATTTTTTTATCCCTCTGAAACCCTACTGAAAGCATGCTGCTGTTGATGTAGCTGTAGTCTTAAAGGCACCTTAATTCACTGTGCAATCAAGTTTCTAAAGACATTTTTCTAAATAACTGAAATGGTAACACAGTCAGATCAGCACCTTTGAAGTCTCTCCTGTTGGAAAAACAAGTAAAATCCCACAAAGCCATTCTTTCTCATTAGACAAAAAGTTTTAAACCCGAGTTATTTTACATCTCAGAAAAGTCCACGTTTCTTCACAGTGAGACGAACAAACGGGATCGCAAAACACCAAAGCAATTAAACCCAGTAACGGTAAACAGGCAGATCAATTAAAAAGTGATTAGAACATAAAGCAGAGTCGATAAAATGCAGACAAGCGAAGCAGGAGCGATAAACACTCCGCTTTAGACAGATTTTATGTTTTTTTTTTTTTTTTTTCTCCAAAGGCTCCAAAAGAGATTTGTTTATTTCCTCTGAAAAAGCCGATGAGATTTCCCCATGTAAAAGCTAAACCGCAAAAGTTTGAAACCTCAACTCAGTCTTACAACTAGGGGACAGGATATATAGGAGAGATAGAGTATAAAAAGAAAAGCTAAGAAAAAAAGGCAAAAAGTTTGGAGAATTACTAACAAGCTGAGTAAAGTTTGGTTGAAATAT